GACATTCGACACCGCCGTGCGTTTTATTACGCGCACGCAACATAACGCCTTCCGCTCGACTCCGTTTCCCGGGAAACACGCTCGTCGCGCGGTAGGACGCAATTAATATATATGATAGCAAGGTCTCTCGCGCGATCCGGTTCTTGTTAAATATAAATCGCGAGCTACGCGCGGCGAATTAAGCGAGCCGGTTGCCGTTGTTTTTGCTTTCGTTGCACCTGTGCACCTCCTTTTATATTCCGCGCGCGCGCGTTTCTCCGCGCGTGTGGAAAATAATAGACCTCTTGCAAGACCGCGCTCCGGATACGGCCGACGATAACGTCGCGTCGTAGTCGCGTGTGCAGCGGGGACGAGCGTCGCGTGAATCCAGGACGAAAGTGTGCTTGCCGCGACCAATCCTCGGTTGTTCCGCGCCGAGCGTCCGGGGGCCCCCCCTCGCGCTTGCGGTATATTCGCCGCGTACGGTATTGCGGAAACGCACCGGCGCGCAGGACGGAGTAAACGCCGGCGTCCGGAGGAACGGCGTTTCGACCCGGCGGACGAAAGACGCGACGCACGAGGCGAGGCGACTCGCGGACCGTGGAAAAAAAAATAAGGGCCGAGATGCGGCGGACGACATTGTCGAAAAGCGCCGGGGCCAATGTCCGGCGGGGAGGCGATTTCTACGGACGCGTTTTCTAGGCTGGATCAATATGTATGGTAATGCGGTCGACTGTGCAGGTTGTACGACATCAGCATCGTCGACCTACGTGCACATATGTACGCCCGTAACTGTATTATGTATGCGCGCGCTACGTAGGACGTGACTTCTCATATAGGTACGTATAATAAACCTATTACGTCGACTACGGCCTACGAAATGCTCGTACACACGCGTATCGTGGACACGTGCGCGCCCGCGCGTATTTATCCTACGTGTATTAACAAAGCTGAGCGAAGCTTATTGTCGCCGGTGGTAATTAAACAAAGGGAACATTTTTGTAAAAGTCGACCAGACTGGCAAAAAGCGATCTTTACTTAAGTCACAAGATTTCGACCTCTTTATCGGGTCCCTTTCAGGCACAATCTGGAAACAAATTCCAAATGCTCAAACCGCAAATACGAAGAAAGGAACTTTTAGTACGTACATAAGTGTGTATTGCAAAGGAGAAAGACATACCTAATGTTGACTGAAAAAATTAATTTATGTCGAAACAGAATGAGTTCATGAGTGGCAGCAAATTCATAATGTCATATCTGAAATTATTGCGGGTAAAGATAAATAAATAAATAGATAAATCGTAAGATAATAAGTCAGAGAAATTAATTAATTAATTAATTAAGTGTAAGAGTCATAAACGTGTATTAATATCGCCGAGGTATTAAGATAAGGGGTCGATGCAGTTACGACAGTCAGCGGGGCCGGAACCATGCGGCGCGGCATGTCAGAGCGAAAGACTTCCTTTTAATTAGGGGATACGCATAAAAACTGAGCTTTATCCTTCGTTAAAAACGCACATGTACCGATTTCAAGGGGGTAATTTAATGTAAACGTGGGACAGTGTCTCCGAAATCATTACAAAGTCCTTAACGAAGTCCCCGTGTAATCCTTTTGCCTTCATTTTCAAGTTTCTCCACTTGTCTCTGCGGGATAAAGCAAAAGAAACGTTTATCGGCCATCGGTAACCATCGAGAGCCTCATAGTGTAGACGCTGTTAAAGATAGAACGACTTAATAAAGCTAAACGATCAAATAAATTTGTTGTAAAGATAGTAATCTCACTCGCGCTATCTTTTTTTCCGGAAGGATACTTTGAAGACTCGTGGCTAAAGGCCTGCGTCCACGATGCTAGAACCTGGTCCAAGTTCCAGCATCGTGGACTCAGGCCTTAAGAGAATATCCTGGGTGTCGATCCGCGTAAAACGGCCGTAACGCGCGACGCTTGTCTTCTCATTGGTCGAGATTGGGGACTTTTTATGTCACCGTGGGCTCTTAAAAGCGCGACATTATAACAGTTCAAGAACGTTAAGCTAAAAATATCATTATCTGCGTTGCGATACGTAAACGTGAGAGCTTTTAAATTTAGCAAGCGCATACATACGCGTAATGTCTCAAAGAGAAAGATATTTTATAGCTTTTAGTGACACTTTGCTATATATTGTGAGATATTACGCTCTTATGTATTTTTAATATCCTTCACGTATATTACCGCGCGCTTAAAAATTACATAAGCAGCGGCAAATTATTAGCCACCGACGAAAATTTATTTAATATGTAGCGCACGGGCATTTATGTCCTTTTTATAGCTCATTACCCGTGCATCGACGCGCGCAGTGCGTATCCGGGAAATCTTGTCTCTTAAGGTCGAAATTAATCGACTACCGCTTCAACGGACGTTGTCATTATGCGCCGGCATTAACGAACGGAAAGAAACACCCGGTATGTCGGTCAGAGACTTTTCACCCGGAATAACCATAAGCGAATAGACTAATTAACTCTACCGTGCATTTTGAGAGCCAAAATGAGACCCCGCGCATTTACACACACGCATGACGCGCGTAACACATACATATTTAACGACATCGGGTGAATGAAATTCGAGTTACGCTTTGCATCGATTATACCCACGAAGAAAGAGAGAGGGAGAGAATAGATTTAAATATCTCATTACGTTGTACGACAATTATATATTTATTTATCGTCCAACACTTTTTAAGGCATTTAAAGAATTTTAGAATTAAAATTTTGAAGAAAACCAACTTTTTTAATGAAACTTTGAAAAATATTTTATACGGATATGTAAGTGCACAAATAATCGATTAATGAAATCGAATTATCGAGCTTTTTTTTTTTAGATACGGACCTAATGCCTTTAATTCGTCTGTAACCCTTTCGCTGTTACCTGCGTGAAGATTTTAAATAACTGAACGCGTCATCGCGCTTCGTCGTGGATGGTTAATAAAGCTACGAATCTCTTACAATTTTTCTTCGAGGCATTTTTAGCTTTATAAGTTCAATGAATAATTGCATTTCGTCAAAGTGGATTTTGATTTTTGGCCTCACAGGGGCCGGAAACGTCTCGATATAACTCGGTTACTAATTGTCTGCAGTCTCGACTGTGTTCTATAAAAATTTGATACAGCCAATTGTAAGTTCTTCTCCAATTTATCTACAAAGTGGTACGCTTCGGGATCGCGGTCGTGACCATGTGAGACTCTTCGCTTTAATACTTGATAAATTTTTATTGTCAGCATTATTGCAGCTGACAGGACACTCGTTTCTCAACGCATAATGAAACGCATTCGATACGCTCTGTGTTTACAAAATAAAATTACTTAAAAAATATCTTGTTCGCTCCCTTAAGGTCTGTGTCCACGGTGCTGGAACTTGGTCCAAGTTCCAGTTTCGAGAAATGTGCGGCCAATCCACTTGCAGCTATTCCATAAAAGTTGCAAGTGGATTGGCCGCGCATCTCTCGAAACTCGAACTTGGACCAGGTTCTAGCACCGTGGACGCAGGCCTTTCGAGATGCCCGGGGAATGAAATCCGAAGCGCGCCCCGTGAGAAGCGTGGCAATTGCTTTTGGATTCTCGCGCGACGTTACGAAAATAAATCCGCTTCTTCTCGCGCGCCGTTCCCGGTAGGCCTTTGTGGTGTTAATGACGGAACACCACGAGGAGAAATTGCACCGGGACATCTTTACGATCGAGGCCCCGGCGCGCGGGGCTGAAGATCAACGACACGAGCGGACGCGAGCGTACACGGACGCGCCGCACACATTACGAGATTTAATTAAAGTGCCCGATGTATTTATCAACCCTCCTTCCTGGAAGCAATACAATCCGCTTAAGAAAATTCGTTCTGCGCGTTTCCTTGGCGAGACACGTCAGCGGGGGATATCGCGGGACAAACCCGGGATGATCACGCTTTTGGGGAAAAAAAACAGTTAGCAACCCAGTTTGGGGCCCACAATTAGTAATCGAATTATTTGGATTGTTCGTAACTCGAATCTTTTACGAATTTCACCCCGCGTAACTAAAAATTGTAATTAGCTATTCTATCTATATCCAAGATTTTCAAGTAATACCAATCAATTCTCTCAGATAGTTCTGTCTATATTTAGTAAGGCAAAGATAATTTTCACTTAAGAGGCACTAACCGAAATGTTGCTTAACTACAAAAAAAATGGTCAAAATGGTTTTTCCCAGAGCGTCACGAACAATCCAAATAATTCGATTACTAATTGTGGGCCCCAAACGGGTTGCTGAATGTCTTTTTTTCCCCCAGAGCGTACGTTTCGAGGGGGAAGAGACGACTCTTCGACCACGTTACGGTGTCTTCGCGAAACGTCGACGCCACTTAAAATTGCCGCAGGGAGCTGCGCTAAAACGTTGACGCTAAAAATGTTAACGAGCGCAAACGAGCCCGCATATTTTTCGCGGTCGTACGAGACCGCGAGAGGCAGAGAGCCAGCGTTTTACATAACGATTTGCGGGCCGATATACTCATCGATTTACAAGCGCGGAATCCGCTCCTCGGACGTGTTCGCGTTGGGATGGACTTGTTAGATGGACTCGCGGGAGCAAAAAGCCGCGACGAACCCTTCACTTTCGCGCGAAATTCACGGCGAGGGACGACGGCGGTGGCGGCGGCGGCGCTAAATCAAAAACAGAATTTTTGCCGCGGCTCGACTCGGCTACGGGAGCAAAGTACAGGTTGCGGGGCCAGTCCTTCCCCGGTGGTGATTACGATGAAGAAAGAGGAAGTGAACGTCGCGCGGAGGAGGGCTGGCGTTTCCCCGATTGCCGCCGTGCGCCGGGAAGGCGCATACCACTCTTGCACCGGGGGGGCATTACGTAACTATAAATTTTAATTGAATCCGCGGGCCGCGAGGCTCCCCTCCCTCCGGCGATCATCTTCTGGCAATAAACGTAACGCGGGACGTATATATCCGCGCGCGAGGGAGGCGCGAGGGGGATGCAGAGAGAGGGAAGAGGGATTAACAACTAGTTTTCACTTACCATGCAGCTGCGCGAGCGACTGCAACGTGTTGGCGGTGTTGCAGTTTATGAATCCTGGAACAGAAATGGAAAAGGCGCCGTTATGAAAAATAGTTAAATATTATTTTAATATCTGGTTATTAAATGGAGGGGTGGGGAAAACGATTGTAGAGGGACGCTAAACGGTGTACATACCACACTGAGAAAAATATCCATTGAATAAACCAATTAAATACGGTTTCCTTTAATCAGACATATCCGTTTGTTATTATGTAATTGGATTATCCGATTACGTCTAATCGGACGTTTTTCTCAGTGGCACGTAAGATTAAAATTCTTCGCACCGTGACAAGACACACGGTTAAAGATTGAAAATAGACTTGTCTTAATTGAATTTTAAACCTCATATTCGAATCTCGCATTGAGATTTCGTGCGATCGGGAAGCCACAATATTACTTTATTCCAGACCTTTAGATTCGTAAAATGGAACAATGCCGAAAAACGCGCGCCGTGCTAATACAATAACGAATGGGGGAAAAAATGATTGCAAATTGATTAGTTAATTCAGGAATTGTAAAATACATAACGCGTAAACACAGCTGTAATTGCGTGTGATACGCCGCGTAATTAAACTGTAATAAAATGACACGGGCGCAGGCGGGATTAATAAAACTTTGTCGGATTAATTAATTTCTCGCGTTGTCGGGTTATTATCCCGGAGTGCAAAGTTTCCGAAATCGATTCGATATCTTTCACTGTCTTCAATAACACGTCGGTCCCTCGCTTTCGAAATTAAGAAAAAAAAATTACACAAACGCTCGCCTGTGTCATCCGAAAAGTGTTACAGGACGCGTGCGGTCTTCTAAACAATGTCGTGCCAAGTTTCACGCGTGCACTGAGAAAAATGTCCGATTAAACATAATCGGATAATCCAATTACGTAATAACAAACGGATACATCAGATAAAAGTCCGTATTCGATGAAAAATATGATCGGTTTTTCTATTTCAAATTTTCTCGGTAACCACATTTTATCGGATAAATTTCATCGGATGTGTCCATCATTTAATCGGAAAACGTAATCGGAAAAATTGACCATTGGACAAATTATTTAATCGGTTTATCCGATAAAAAATGTTTTCAGTGTATGCGCGCACTGAAAAAATTTTCCATCGGATAAACCGAATGAATAGTGTGTCCGATGGTCAATTTTTCCGATTACGTTTTCCGATTAAATGATGGACACGTACGATGAAATTTATCCGATAAAATGTGGTTACCGATAAAATTTGAAATAGAAAAACCGATCAAATTTTTCATCGAATACGGAATTTTATCGGATGTATCCGTTTGGTGGTTAATTTTTCCCATTAAATTATGAATACATTCGATGAAATTTATCCGATGAAATGCAGTTACCGATGAAACTTGATTGAAAAATCGATCACATTTTTCCTCGGATATATCCATTTGTTATTATACAACTGGATTATCCGAATATATTTAATCGGACATTTTTCTCAGTGTACGCGTGCATGCGCGCGTCATCGTGAGCTCAACATCGGTACGCATGAACGTACGTGCATACGCCTCGTCGAACATTCCCATGACATAAGATAACCTCTGAACCTGAGGCTCTCGGTCCGACCCGTCGACTCGGGCCTCAGTCCGAGCGCGAGCGCCCATGATGGAGCATTGTGATTTAGGAACGTCGAAACGCGCGCGTCGCACCGTCGTATCTCCACCTCCGACGACTTTCCGCTTTCTTCGCCGCGCTTCCCTTGTTCTCCCTCCGCTCTTATCCGGCGCGCACCTTAACTTCTCATTTTAATACATGTTTTAATATACGCTCCTTTATATTCCCTTCGCGCCAGGTGAGAGCGCGACGTGAACGGGCGGCGACTTTCACGCTAATTAGCGCGAACTCGTCCGTTCGCGGAGGAACCCCGGGCGAGACCGGTATCGCTCGTGTCGCCAAACGACTTTGCCAGACATGCTAAGAGCTTGTCGAGAATTTTCGCGGCCGAAAGTGGAGAAACACACTTGCGGAGACCTTGATCATAGCGCTCGAGACCCGCCGCAATATCGACTAGTGCACTGAGAAAAATTTCCATCGGGTAAACCAATAGTGTTTCCGATGGTTAATTTGTACGATTGCGTTCTCCGATTAAATCATGGATACATCCGATAAAATTTGTCCGATGAAATTTGATTTTTAGTCGAAACGTTGTGTAATAAACTGATTAAATAACTAGCCAGTTGGGTTGACTGTAGGTTTCCCGTCTCAATTTTTGATTTTTAGCTTCAGCTCCTACTTAAAAGGACCCACTTCAATGCTGAATTGGCAAAAGTAGAAATTTTCGACACTATCAGTTTTAAAGTAGGAGTACACTTTTCCTAGTTTTCGAAATTCCTTATCGGACGATCGGACGATCGGCAGATACGTTCGATACTGCTCCGGTCTATTTTCCAGGCATCCGGTGTAATCCACGAGCAAAGTGTCTAATGGGCTAAGGTTTCCGAACGGGAAGGTACAATTTCTGTTTGTCTGTCTCGCGCGCGATAAGATTAGCGTGATCCGAGAAACGTGGGATTCCTCGACATATGTGGAATGTCTCTCGCGAGTAACGATCGGGATTACGAATGCGGGGCTGTACGTACCGGGTAAGGTAGGTAGGTGGGTATAATCGTGTTAAACGGCGATCGGGTAATGCGCGTTCTGGGAACCGATCTGGGATGCGCCACTCGGCGATTCGTGCGCTTATCACTACCGTGTTCCACCGCCCCAATCATTTCTCGACCAGTGTAAATAAGAACGTGCCGATCGCTACGGCGAAAACGCGTTACCCCGTACTCTTTGAGTATCTAGTCACGCAACGTCGCGTACAATGTATCTCTCCCCATGCAATTGCCCCCCTCCGATTCGAATCGCATTTCTGCGATTGATCGATCGTAAGGAGCGCCGACGGGCTAGCATTGCGAGTTAGCCAGTTAGCTGATTAGAACATTATCGGAATGCACGTGCTTCGTTCTCTTCAAAATAAACGACGCGCCGAGGAATTAATCGCGAAGCTGAATTAACTAATCGGAAGTCCAATGGAATTTCTCTCACAGATTTATCGAGCGTCGTTTCGAATCGCATGGCTAATATGCGACGCCTCCAGATTCGCGCAGCGGGAAATTATCGTGGATGATTCTCGACGACCGCCATTGTGGCGAGATTTGTCACGGGTGTTTTTAATACAGACAGGTGTTTGTCTTCTTCAACGTCGAAATGGAAATATTAATTCGCACGATGTAGTTACATACGTCAATTTCTTTGTCAGATACGTCCACTTGTTCTGACAATATCTGACAAATAGGCGACACAAATCCTTACGACACTTGGATTGACAGGACACTTTTTCCCACCTTAACTTTTTGCAAAAAGTATGCCGATACGGGAATTATTGTATACGTCTACGACAGAGACAGAGAGAGAATATAAACCGATTGATAACAGGGATCAAATATTTGCCGACTTTCCGCAACCGTTCCATCCGCAAGCGACCGGTATTACCGATTTAGAGGTAAAGAAATCTCGAGAGGAAGTCCGAGTCGAAATTTTGGCCCTATGTTGAACCTGTAATTCTATTATATAGTAGGACCTAAGACAGTAAAAGAGGTCCAACTGCAAGTACAAAATTTACTCCTACTTTAAAACTGACAGTGTCGGAAATTTCTACTGTTTTTTAAGTAGGAGCTAAAGTAAATTTTTAAAATTAAAGATTCGAGGGAGGAGTAAAAAAATATCGTCAAATTCTCTATCCCGAGTCGAAATGTTGGCCCTATGTTGAACCTTTAATTCTATTATACAGCAGGACCTAAGACAGTAAAAGAGATCGAACTGCAAGTACAAAATTAACTCCTACTTAAAAAATGATAGCGTCGAAAATTTCTACTTTTGCCAATTTAGCATTAAATTAGGTCCTTTTAAGTGGGAGCCAAAGTACATTTTTAGAATTAAAGATTCAAGGGAGGAGTAAAAAAATATAATGTTATCAAAGTAGGTTCTTGCTAGTCTGCGTATAGATCAGCTGAGTAGGTGTAAATTATCCTTAAAAGTGTCAAAATAGTCCTAACATTTCGACTCGGGAGATTTCGTTACATAGTTGATCCCAATTTGAATTCTGAGGATGCCCCACGGCACATGCACTGCGACGAGTACGTAGCGCCAGCGCGTGCCCGACAGTGCTTTCTTCCGCAGGCCACGGCACATCGTGACTAATTTTCTACACCGTTACAATAATAGCAAGCGCAAGCGCAAAAAAAAAAACGTTTTCCGTGCGTCCGGTCGACGAACTTACCATACGCATGGCAAATAAAGTAGCGATACCATTTCACGTCGCGTGCGCCACGGTAACATTTATTAGCGGAATTATCGAGGCGCCAATCGCCTTTCGTTCTCTCTCACGTGCGCGCCCAAAGTAAAAAATATAACTAATGGAACTTTATTCAGCGATTATTTTTATTTGTCCAGCCCTTATCCCGATTTTTATACGACGATATTTTTAACAGGATCGACTTCGAGCAAGGCTTACGTTGGTACAGTCTTGATGTTCGCGCGTGATATTCTCCAATACAGATATCTCGTTACAAGAGGTTGCGAGATAATCAAATTTCCCAGCAGGAAAGTCGACTTCTACCGCGTTTATCGGACAATCAAAGGTGCTGTCATTACCTGAACGTCGACGATAAATATTGATCGTCTGAGAGCCGCTTGAATAAAGGCGCCTGTCAACGATCGCGCGCTCAAAGGTGGAGAAGCGAGCGAGCGAGCGCGAGCGGGAAGCGTGGAAGTGTCGTTTTCACATTTTGCGAAATCGCGTCGCGTCTGCGGCGCTCTTTAAAGGTTGATCCACCGCCGAAGAAGAAGAAGAAGAGATCCGCCTGCCGTGCTTGTGCCGGCAATAACATTATCCCCCGTCAATTTGCCCCACAGATTTTACTTTCACGGTGCGTCCTATTCACGTATCGATCGCTATTATCGATGATCGGGTCAACACGCGCAACCTGTTCACGCGGCTAGCTAACAA